GACCTGTATGACCATGTTCACAGAGTAAACTTATCATGACAATGACTCGTAAACCAACTGTCAAAATGAATTTAAGAGCAGTGACTTTTATCCTGCCTGGCTTGAATACATTCCATTTTGCATATCTTTTTTGATTAAAAAACACCCAATTTCAAGTAAAAACATTCCTTTTAAACAAAATCATGAAGATTCAGTTCCAGTGATCGCGAAATAACAAAATTAATTCATCCAAAGATATGGTTCGATTCATATGAGTGAATCATAACTGCCCAAGATTCGAGTACATATACCTACTTGACCTTTCACAGATACATTTTTTATCCATATATGACCCAAGATGATACTATTTATCCACTGGCTTTATCATGCCTGAGAAACCTACCCACTATATGATAAATGATTAGATGTGTATTGTTACAGGTCAATACAGTATTTTGTAAGAACTGTCATAAACTCTTGTACCACATTGTTGTCAGAAAGTTGATTTTCCAAAATGATAGCCATTTTGAAAATGGCTGCCATGACTCCCACTGTGTTATCTAAAAGCAAAATTTCAAAAACTAAAAAAGTAACTCTGTGTTGTGCTTCGTGATTCATGTTTAAGATTCATGTGACAAATATTGTATCTATCCAACCGTGCAGATATATCACAAAAGAGACCTAGTTTATACAATAAGGACCTGACAAAAAGACTGCCTCCATGTTTTTACCTACCCCATAAGTTGGGATTACAAGTATCTTGAAATGTCATGTAGGCTCCCCAGGAACAACCTGCATAGTGACACATGTAAGTGGTAGGTGTTCAAGAAAGTTTGCTCCTGTACTAGGATGACTGTTTTCATTTCCAAACTGTTTTCATGTGAGTCTGGTTAGGAACTAACTGATCATATGTGGATCACATCACTTGACAGTGGGGGTTTTACATCAAACACAAAGTCAGCATCTAATATGCATAAATTTATGGTTTGGATGCTAAAACATTTAAGCAGTGCCGTAAAGCACATACAAAACATAAGTTGACAAAGAAACTTTATCAATGGACTGAAAAGTCAGTCTCTTATTACACATTAAGTTTACTGATGTGAATGTTATTATTAAGTTATATCATGTCAAATCTAAGAATTTAATGTTTCAGATGTCACTTGTAGTGTGGCCACCAAACCAAGGTAAAACAACTGCCTTGAATAGCTTAAGGTTTCATAACAAAATATACAAATGTCTATCATCTCACATTTGACAAAATATTGACTAATATCTCAAAAATAGTTTAAAGCAACCTAAAAGTGAATGCCAGATATGTAAATCGACACAGGCTGCTGGATGAGCTTCATATTTACTTAAAATATGCAAAATAAACCACAACAACCCACCTAATTTTAAGCTGCTTGCATGCAAATACACGTAAAACATGAAAGTCGCATGGTAACAACACTGCATGATTTCACATCACACATGATACCATACACAGTAAAATGAACAACTATGATAAATATTAGATTTACCCTTTGATGCATCTATGGGTAACTAAACATCTCGAGTGACCTTCTACTGTTGCCAGTCCTGGTGTTCATATATAACGTTTAACACATTTTCTGTGTAGGTTAATACCCCAATGAACTCACACTCAGTGAGACTGAATTATTACATCTGCATCACATAAACTATCTTTTTTGCCAGGTTATAGAATACACAAGTGGTCACTGCAAAACCACATGGCCCTTTTATCATTTTGATACTGACTTCTCATGGTATCATTATTCGTGGCTACTAGAATTGAATAGTTATGGTGAGGTGAAATTGGGTTTAACGTCGTGCTTGAGAATATTTCACTCATATGACGACGTGCATGCGTGTGTATGCATGTGTATGTGCGGCTGCTTGTACTAGCCCAGACTGAAGCTGGTTTTATAGTGCTAGCCCACTGAGATACCATGCCGCAGTGAAGCATGAATAGCCCACTCAGACACAGTATACTGACTCCGAGCCGACCAGTCCTTGTTGTACCCATTAATGACGAGCGCGCCAGACAGGGACCAACAAGTACCATATTTTAACGTCTTTTGGTATGACGCGGTCGGGGATCGAACCCGCGACCTTCCACTCTCCGGGCGGACGCTCTAACCACTACACCACGGAGGCGGTCTGAATAGTTATATACAGTGTTCATTGTATATAATAACAGTGCTTTTGACTTGGGAACTAGGTTTGTTTTGTTATGTATGTTATTAACAAGTATAAGATTTATAAGCAGTGTAAATGTAATATAACATTGTATATCCAGGCCATACTGTAGTATGACTTGTGTCATGGGGTGCCAAGACCCTAATGCACTGCCATTTGGCTATATGCGCTGTGTAAATGTAATACATTGTTATCCAAACTGTTGCTTTGTCATGGTGCCAAGAAAAAATAGCGACATCACTGTTGCTTTAAATGTTTCATCTTATGCAACTACATCACATGTTTTCATTCCTTGATTTTCAACAAAGTATTCATGAAAAAATATTCATATTCATAACTATATATTTATAATCATAATGTTTTTGAGTCCAAACGTTTTTGTTGAAGCTGTAAAATATACGGCACTAACAGCCATCTAAGCAATATACTGACAAGCTGTAACTCTATTTCAATATATATTATTGTTTATCATACAATGGATAGTGTTCTCAGCAGGATAAAGCCAACGGATATTTTTGGTATCCGTTGGGGTCATATACAGATATCGATGCAAATTTAGAGAGGTCATATGCAAATTTCAGGGACTACTTTCACAGTGTAAACAAACATGGCGTCAAGGGTTGGCGGTCGTGTCCGGATTAACGGCCGTGGTTACGGTACTGTCAGGGCTTTGATCCCAGAAAATTCATGCCTGGTTTTGATAGATGGAGTCGATTACACTGACTGACTGACTGAGTTTGGTTTTACGCCGCTTTTAGCAATATTCCAGCAACATCACGGCGGGGGACACCAGAAATGGGCTTCACACATTGTACCCATGTGGGGATTCGAACCCGGGTCTTCGGCGTGACGAGTCAACGCTTTAACCATTAGGCTACCCCACGGCCCCGAGTCGATTACAAAGCGAAGATAGAAATTGATAGGCTTACGAAGATACCAACATCAGTTCCCCGACCGACTGTCAGTGTTAGCGAGAGAACGGTGCACAGTGTCACGCTAACATTAAAGCGTATTTGGTTGTTCAAAAGCTTAATTGAAGGTTTCTGAAGTTCCACGTGAGTTTGTTGTTATTTTTCAAACGTAAGCTAAGATTTGTTGACAACAATACATGCTTTAGCATAAAAGCTTACTGGGAACTAGATGACCGCTGAGTGATCAGGAGAAAATTATGTCACCGGGCTTGTGACGTAATGTATTACTCCGCACATATTTGTGACGTCAGAGACATTCCACGAAGTTTAGTTTCATGATTTGTGGCATTTGAAATCACATTTTTTTAAATTATAAAGCAAAAATGACATTGTATGATAAATAGGTTATCACACTCGTGTGTTTTGGGATGGTTAATATCCTGCATTAGGAATAAACACTATGTATTTAGCTCGGTAAGGCTCGCTAAATACAATGATTATTCCTAATGCAGGATATTAACCATCCCAAAACACACTCGCGTGATAACCTATATTTATGTGGATCACAACACTATAAATGCAATTATTATGCAGCAGATATTGGTATTATAAACAATGAAAAATGCAGGGGACCCCTAACAGTAACAATACCAAGGTGTGACATTGAATGTTTATTTACATATTCTTGAATGCATGGCGTCCGTGTAGTGTTCTTGGTAGAATTAAGTGACAAAATTAAGTTGATGGCTTGTGTTATGTACACACAGATAGCTATACACTAGCTATCAGCATGGTAGAGGTTGTTGTGCTGGTGACCCAGAGCTCCTAACTAAGGCACTGCTAGGTTAAGGGAGGGAACTTCCTGACTTTTGCCGCTGAACCAAGGCTTGTGTAACCTAGGTCACCTGAGAATGGTTGTTCTCAATTGTTCTCCATGATGCAGCAGCGACAGGCTTTAACCATGTCAAGATTTGAACTTGTGTCGTCAATTTGATGAGTGAACACTTTAACAACCATGCCACCCAATCACCCTTGTAATGCTAAGAAATCTATCATCCATCAAACATCATGATTTCTAAATGCAAATCATAGCATATAAGTTCATAAATTCATGGACTTTCAATATCATACAATGAAACGATGAAAGAAATAGTCAGCACTGAGTAAGTCATCGTGATCTTGTAAACTTATGCCCCTGTGAGTGATAAAAATGTGGGTTATATTAACATTAATTTTACTCCTTATCCTAGTCACGAAGTTTCCCCACCTCTGTCTGTGCAGTTAATGGACTGTTTTTACCTCACTTCGAACAATCAGACAATCCTAATATATTCACAAAATCAAGCAGTCAGCGTGTAAACTGCTATTTTCTGTCAAATATACACATGAAATATATCATAAAATCCAGTTCAAGAATTCATACAATCATCAAAGATGCAGCAAAATGCTTTGTTTTATCACACTATTTCACATGATCCAGTATAGAGGATAAAAGTGACTAAAATTCTTAAAGAGGGTGATAAAGTCGCGACTTATATTCAGTTTAATCAGAGAAGGAAAAAAAAAAGCAGTTGAGAAACGCACTATTTTATCGAAATATTATCTGCTTTGATTGGCGGATTGTTTTGGTCCCATTGTCTCTTCACAAAACAAACTGTTCTTACATTTTCAAACAATAACAAAACATACAAAGTGTGTATATCTGAGTTCTTACTGAAAGAATACTCATTTAGAACCACAATGTAAAACATAATATATATATGATGTGCTGATGGGGTTATGGATAGCAAATAGATTTCGCCGAGAAGCAATTTGGACGTCTGTCAAATAAATAACTCCATCTACCGATATGTTACACTACGCAACTAAATATTTGGCCTACAAAAACGCAAACATAAATTAACCTACCTCATATCCTTGCAGTATTTCTAGATAACATTAATCAGAAGTTTGCAACGGGGGGTGGTTCTTCGAACATTTTATTTCCTGCGAACAATCAACTATCAGATTTACACAACGAAGAGGACAGTCGCAGCTGATATGGAAGTGTTTCACGACCTTCACCTATGGCAGCGTCCCAATGACCTCCAACCTTTCCTTGATATAAAAGCTCCCTACAGCGTGGTGCAGAGGAGTTTGGAATTGTTGACCCATTTCGGCAGGAACGACGAACATATTGTCAACATATCCTGTGTATACTTTGTTTTACCTCAGCTTTGGCTATCAGTAAAACGATTTTTATTAGTGAAACACAATCGTTCTCTTTTCCAAAGGTACGATAACGCAACTACATAGGAATAATGCCTGGGAATAACTGGGTTGTTTACCTTTGTACATTTGTAGTAACTGGCTGTATTAGGCTCAGCAAAGGGAATAATTGGTGCCTTGTTTGCCACCGGTCATCGTTGTTACACGTTTCACGTGATTATTGATGCCATAACTCCATATACATACTCTAATGCGTAACACTTTGTGGGTAAGTATGTTGGCATGTGTAAGCCATGTGTAGGCCTCTTTTTTAAAACAACCACAAACATCGACGGGGACTTTGAAAACTGAACAGAATGGGCAAAGTTAGGTTACTCCTGGTAGGCCGCAACTGTAGGTAAAGTGTAGGTAACTGCAGGTAAACGTAGGTATATATCACAACTGTAGGTAAAGTGTAGGTATATATCACAACTGCAGGTAAAGTGTAGGTATATATCACAACTGCAGGTAAACGTAGGTATATATCACAACTGTAGGTAAAGTGTAGGTATATATCACAACTGCAGGTAAAGCGTAGGTATATATCACAACTGCAGGTAAACGTAGGTATATATCACAACTGCAGGTAAAGTGTAGGTATATATCACAACTGCAGGTAAAGTGTAGGTATATATCACAACTGCAGGTAAACGCAGGTATATATCACAACTGCAGGTAAAGTGTAGGTATATATCACAACTGTAGGTAAACGGTAGGTATATACCACAACTGCAGGTAAACTAGCATGTTGCAGGTGTACTGCACGTAATTAACGCCAATATTGTAGCACAAAAAACGTTAGGTCCGACTCTTGGTTGTCAAAAAATGTATATAAAACGTGCGGATACACAGAAGAGATTTGGTAAATAGATGAATAGACAGACCGATTGCATAACATGGCGCAACTTACAGTTTTACGATGGACAATAACTACCTGTCTATAAAGCAGTAAAAGTTAGATTCACGATCAGGTCACGACAAGCAAGATATATGGATGTCAACTTCTTTATTGTGAATAACACAACGTGTCGGAGTGTATGTATGTTTGTTCCTTCATCAGGTGCAAACATACACTCCGAAACGTCGTGTTATTCACAATGAAGAAACTGACATCCATATATCTTGCTTTTCTTATGCATTCCACTTCTAAATGCCCTTTAAAAAATTCATATCAGTTCGTCTAACCGTCGATTAGGTCAGGTCGCAAGTAAATACATTCGTGCAGTGTGTGGTCACTATTGCGGTGATAAAGTGCTGTATAGTAATACAGTTTATAGAGGCGTGAAAGTCTCGTGCTTTATAACGTGTACATGTCGACAGGACGACGAACAAACAAAACACACATTTATTACGAGACAATTGATTCTGTAAACAAGGGGTGAACAGTGAATTTATTGGCTGGGGAATTTGAGAAACGATCTATGAATTTCCCGTGGTCCATTCAAAGGTACATAATGTGAATAATACCAGTTTAACCCCAATGAAGCGATGGTTACTTTGACGTAGAAGGTCAAATATGAAGTAATACTATAATAGTTAATGTCATACTAGTATTAAATATGATAACGAAAGCGTTAATGTCAATTGTATGGAAGGTACGTTCCTCTTTTGTTTCTTTCTTCACTGTCAGGTTGAACCGAAAATTGCGAACAAATCAGTTTGCACGGACACCTATAGTTCATGAACTTACAAGTTTCTACTCTTGGTTGTTGCCCATTCTGTACAAATGGTAAAACCCTACTTTGTATAAATCTTGTTTTTAACTTGTATTTGATGTGTAATCAGTGAGTGTGAGTGAGTGAGTTGGGGTTTACGCCACTTTTAGCAATATTCCAGCAGTATACCCACGGGGGACACCAGAAATGGGCCTCACACATTTTACCCATGTGGGGAATCGAACTCGGGTCTTTGGCCGAACGCTTTAACCACTAGGCCCTGATGTGCTGTCAGCTATGATACCTGAAGTACTAGGTGGAAAACGAGCCTTATGTTTTCAAGTGGAGGGATCTAAACTGGAAGTTTCAAATTCATCAACGGTTTGGCACAGTGCAACAACAGAACTTAATGTAGCATTTTCACTTGCCTGAGATAACCATATGGCACCAATGGTTGTACCATTAAGATGGAGTGTTAACAACGAGCAGTACATCATTTAAAAGAATACATAGTTTTGACAAACCGTACTGTTTGTATGAAATCGCGCAATTAGCTTTGAATGTGACTGGCGGAATTTGTGCAATCTATATTGTCTAGTTTGTGAAACGCGAGTATTTACCTATGATCTGTGATGTGTAGAGAACTAGTACCACAGCGCTATCGGGATATTGATATGCTGTCGAGAACAATGGGTTCAACTTGGCCTCTCCTTTGTTCCTGTGAGAGTACATTGACATCCCGATAAAGTAAAGACACTTACTCGTCCTCGGAACAGAACATTTATTACTTTCAGGCCACTATCCGGGGCGTATGGTGTTCAATGTACAATATTATTCAAACTACGTGCATGGTGGTAACACAGTCGGATACATTTATGTACATACAACTCAAAGGTATAGCGTGTACAGGGTAGGTGAGAGTAGTGCTAACGTAGAAGTCTGGAAGACCTGTAGCTAAGCATAAGGAGAGAACAGAGCTTAAACTTAAAGGTCACATAAACCCTATGGGGTACAAATACATAAATCACTAACTGGCATCGTTATAAATGAAACCCCGTCATTAAAACTACTCATTTCGACCTTTAATTGACTTAAATCGACCTTTTTGACAACAGTGCACAATTCTCACCCGCGAACGAAATTTCAACCAATCAGAGCGGCGCGCCTCTGTGACGTCATATGAGGAATAGCTTTGAGGGCCGATGCAGAATTCATCTACATTTTAGGGGTTAAATTATCTTGTTTACAGGCTTGTATAAACCTGAAATCGTGACAATTGTTGTGGAAAATGAAAGCTATATGTTCTCACAATCTATAGTCATTTAATTTTGTCTCCTGCTTTACCTAGTTTCCGAGTTACAACTTGTTTTCATAGACGATTCCGTCAAAATCGATTGGTGTCGTTAGGCCCTATTTGTATAATGACTGATCAAAATTGATTCCATTTCTGTGTTTTTTTTTACCTCGATATTTAATCATGTCATGTAAAAATCTGTTTGTTTTCTTAAAACAGTGTCGGCCCATAAGTTTTTTCACATGCAATACAGCAATTAATACTCCCTTGTTGTAACCCGTGTTAGGTGGTATAAACCTACACATGTTATTTGTCATCATTCACTTGATGGTCAGTTAATGAATTTATAACAGGTATAATTAGTGGTAACACACTTAGATTACCCGACAAAGGTTCCCATTTGGCATTTCTTGTGTCTGGAGTAAATATTCAACATTATAAACATCGATCAAAGGATTAACCGATAACACGCTGATTGATTAATTACTTTTATCTTACACAGCGGAATTGTCAAAAGGTAGTGTTTATGTATGTAGATTTACTAATCTATACTGAATACACTCTGTCGTGTCGGTGTCTGCGTAAAAACAACGTCCTTCTTTCAAAGGATAAACCGGCAATACATTGATTGATTGCCCATTATTGGCTAACTAAATTACTGTTTTTAAAGAAAAGCGGACATTATGCAATTAGTTGCCAGGTGTGCTATCTTGGGTGACCAATGAGACTATACACCAATACCTGAAGGGATTTATCACTTTTTCGTATATTAAACTGTTAAAAGACACATCATTTGGAACAATCTCGTGGATATTGATGGATACATTCCTCGAACAAGGTAATGGCCTGATATTGTTCCTATAACTTTAATCTGTTTTAATTTTAATATTTGCATTTTGTTTTTATTCATTTGTCGTAGCTTTCAACAGAATCATTGTTTTCGCCGTGAAGTGTAATGAGACAGACAACATGCACTAGTGTGTGTGCGAATTATGATTCACATTGGCAAACTATAAAATGTCTAGATATTACAGTTCTGTTATAAATTCACTATAAGTATCAGCAGATCGTCTTCTTTTTATTTAGTTTCAAAATGTATACAAGTATGATAATAAACTAAGTAGGATTATAAGACCAAATATAAAGACGCACATTGACTAGTATCTACATACTGGTGAGTGGACATTAACCATGGGAATGTAGCAAGAAATTTATCGCGCAGTATTGTGACTTCGACCCCCACCTCGCTTCCGTGGAAGAAATCGTTATGTTATAAGTTGTGTCATGCAAAATGCTTTTGGTTATGATTCCAATACATATTTAACTACGAGTAGAAAGTAGTCTTGATTTTCTAACTTGATGAAAACAAACTATAATCTCATTAATTCTAACAGATTTTTTTGTTTTTAAAAATGGCGGCGCCCTGTCGGGAACATCCGCCAGTCTGAGGATAAATGGTATTTAGGTTTGTTTTCACCGAGTTACAAAATCAAAACTACTTTCTACTGGTAGTAAAATATGTATTTTATTGATGGCCAATAGGATTTTGCATGACATAGCGTATAACATAACAATTTCTCTCGTGGCAGCGAGGTGGGTGTCAATATAATACTACTTACAATATTATTGTTACTTCGACCACAACCTCACTTCCGAGAAAGAAATCGTTATGTTACAAGTTGTGTCATAGAAAATCTTTATGGTCATCAATCATATGCATATTTTACTACAACTAGTAAGTAGTTTTGATTCTTTAACTTCCGTGAAGCGATTTGAACACAAGTAAGATATCGTTTCAGGCTTCCACAACGCTCGCTTCGCACTCACAAACATAACCCATTTAGCACGAACTGCGGGGACCTGTGGAAA